AAATTGTAGTATTGCTTCATCTTTGTTTTACCCGGGTGATCAACCTTTGTATTTTGGCATTTTACTTTCCCCTCAAGTTACATTAATGTCTATCAGAGGTCGCCAATACAAACTGACCGTTTGTTTGGCATCAGCTCTGCTTCAAAGCTTTACTCTCCTGAGAAACTAAAGAGGTTGAAGGTCAGCGGTGAAACTATTTTCCAGCCTTGTTAAGCTCTCGTGTTTTCTTTTCAGTGTTTTCGCCTCAGCTACTCCTTTGACATTTGACCTCACTCCTGCAGGAGAGTTCACCCTGCAGTTCATCTCTGCCAGCTCCCTGAGGCTCATCCATTCCTAGTTTGTCACATGACAGCAAGAGATGTGGCGAGAATCCCAAAGTATATTTCTACAGGAAGTTACAACACATGTTGTTTTGTATGTATGTTTTGTATGTATGTTGAGTTTTTCATATTATCAGAAGTTGATGCTTCTGCCATGAACTTCATTTTAATCTTTGGGATGAAAGTCTTTTTGTGTTTATACTAAGAGGGAGGGAGGATGATGTAATCCTATTGTCTAATAAATGATGATGATGAATCTCTCGATGAAGTCTTCCGTTTCCTCTGTGGTCCGGATCGATTAAATCCTGTTAAAGATTTAACAAGGAGCCATGTTGGTATTAATATAGACTATACCACAATACCACATGCTAATGCATTATTTTAAATAATAAAATACAAGCCAATGAACAGTACAGCTGCTAATGTGCATGGGAGGTTAATTACTAATTAACTTATTTTCTCACACACCAATGTGATTTAAATATTACTGAGTAGCGATATTCTTTATTTACAATAATAACTTGTAGAGCGATGCTCATGTCGTCCTGGCATCGGCTCGTAGTTGATCGCCGATTCAACGCGTCCCCCGGCAGCCACGCTAACGATGTGACGTCCCCAACAGCTGTGCGGTTCTTTGGCTACCATTGCACTGTGCTCGCGGTAACCCGTTCAGAGGACTAGTCATATTATCTTGGGGCCTTTCTGTTGTTTGGAACTGTAAATCCCTGATGTGACTTCAGAGCCGCGGGCCTTTGCCTCATAGCTCCTCGAGAGAGGTGAGTACAACTAAATGTGTCAGTTGTAATGTCAACAAACTAGTGTGTGTGTGTGTGTGTGTGTGTGTGTGTTTATGTGTGAGGTGGCATAACTGTGCATGCAGCTCTTTTCTGCTTTAATGTGTTGGTTTTTAGTTGCAACTACTGTGCAGTTGATACAGGCTTGTGTTGTATCTGCTTTGGTGCTGATTTATTTTGCTGTTGATAAAAAGTGAGTTATTCAATGAATGTGGTGAAATACAGCTTGTTGCATCGACGCAGTTTAATATATTTTGTATTTGTTGTGTAATGGTCTAAAATGTGCCCTCATTCTGTGGTTGTATAACTACAACATCATTTGTAAGAGCAGCATAGAAAGTCCCCTCTGGTGCAGACGGGGCAGTCAGGGCTCTGTGGTGAGATGAGTGGGCTGCACGTTCAAATGTTAAAACATTTTATTTTACAGACTAAACGTGTCCATTAGGTCTATCCTATGACATCATCAAATGCTTGTTTCACCATTTAAACCCCCCACAGACGTCCCCTTTCAATATTTTAAGATACAGGACTGTACTCAGTGCATCTTAACAAGGTTTTTTACTCTCATCTCTGTTCATTTGTACAATACTGGTATTTCTCGTATTTGAGCAATGGGCTCAAATAGGCTTTTTGTGTTGCCAAAGCTCGAGAGCAACAATGTAGAGTTTGATGCGCTTGTGTCACATTCAGAGAGAAATCAATAATTCTGCAGTCAATAGGGAACTGAGATCCGGTGATTGACTTTGACTTGCAGCTGTGTTGATGACACAGGATGGAGCCACTGGCTCAGTCAGACACAAGTGCAATAATATTTGTATGTTGGTTTGTGGTCTTGTGAACGGCTCAACGCATCGGGGAAATGCGGATATTGTCACTCACACAAACGTGTCGTGTTCACGTATCTGCTGTGAAAAGGCCTGTTTCAACTGCTTTACATATTGTAAATACTGTAAGCCCTTATGCAGCTTTGCCTCATGCAGAAATACTGCAAAGATTATGCTTCTAACATTCAACTGGCGTAAGAGTTCAGACGTATGAAGTTACAACAGCAGTCGTGGAGGACGACAACAGCGATCACGCCATTACGATCCATCTATGATGTTGGTTTAAAGACTCGGCCCACTTTAATCTGCATTGTGGAGGTGGATTTTAGGTAAGCAGATTTACACTGTTGACTGGTGCATCTCTGTCGCACTCAATATATATAATGGGTTTCAAGCAGAAGATACTATTGCAGCTATAATAATGAAGGCACTTGAAAATACAATTCAAAGGCTGTCAGGAGTGGAAACGGCCGCTGTACCCTCCATCAACCCGCAGTGCAGCACCATTAGACCACTTCTGAATGCACGAATACATTTATGTGCTTTTTATTTTTTATGCCTTTTTTAAAGCATGACAAATAGTTTCATAAATAAGGACACACGCTGTTATTTGGGTTTACGCTGTGGTTGTTTATCTTGAGGACAAATGTTTTAAAGGATAAAATCAGCCATTAGATGTGTTTTTATATTCATTTTAAACAATACACACCAATGTCATTGGTGTAGATGAGGAAGCATAGATTAATAGCATTATTATTGTGACTAGAGGGCTGCCACGGAAACAGCAGATTTCCTGATGTCAGGTTACAGAAATAAATGTTTTCATTTCTTGAAAATATTTAAAACTAATATTTGTAATTTGAAGCTGGAAGCAAAACGAATCGGAAGCAAGTTCTGTATTGACAGGACTATTGATCAACTCGCTTGTTTTATTTAAATTGCATGGAATAAACTTTGAGTACTTGCTCACTGTTGAGAGAGAGAGCGAGAGAACAATACCGGTTTGTTTCACTTTACGGCTGCAGTGTAAATACCGTTTGAGTGAAGCAGAGACATTTTATTTTGAACTTGCCTTTTGACTTTGCAAAAAATGTCGTCAAAACTCAAGCTAATTAACATTGTTTTATGTTACAGATGCTTTTAACCAGCAGTTCCTGCAAAATAATACTAAAGAGCATGTGCTTGAGAGTTGGATGACGATGGGTTTGACATACATATTTAGCCCATATTTCTCTAGGAAGAATGAATGTCATGTTCTGTGTATCACTTCTTGGGATTCTTCCAGTACATTGTTCCCCAGTGTGACGCAGAAGAGTAACATCCCTTGCTTATACTAGACCTCTGCAGGAATACTGAAACATAATAAATAAAATGAAAACGAACAAAGTATTGATCCACCGAGGGGAGTTCTCGCTGCTTCTCTGCTCTAAAGAGAAGTCAGGGTGCCGCTCAGAAGATGCTTGAACAGGTCATCTGTTGAAGGGTGGCCTCCTCATTGTTGCCTCTCTGCTGGACCCCGAGTGTTGCTGTCCTGCAATCGACCCGGAGACTAAAAGCTCCCCGTGCGTGCATGATGTAATACGGAATGGACCAAGGATAGTTTTTTAATGACTGCGTAAATCGCTTGGTACGCTAAACCTCAAGAATAATATTTTTGAAGCCAACAAAGTGTGTTGTGCACTAAATTCTCCTTGAATCGCTCATCAAAATCCAATGACTCTTGGCTTTAATTTGAGGAAGTAGGTCATATAAATACCCTGTTAGTTCCAGCTAAGCCTCACCGTGCAGAGAAGGACTATACATGGTTATTGAGTGTTTGAATATTTATGACCTGGCCTTTATCAGGAAATCTAATCTGCAGCGCACCAGCAGGTCTGTGCGTTCTCTGTAGTGAAAGGGATTTTGTTGAAATGCATCTAAATAGGTCAGCTTGGCATGCACTAAGCAATTAAATGTTTCCTAATTTACCAGAGAGCTGCATGTGTCTCTGGATTTACACACATACGCTTGTTTCCAGAACATAGTCAATTTGCAGGTTCACTATACTGACACTATATAGGAATACAAAATAAATGCTTCACGTGCTATTTAACTCAGGAGCTTTGTTAGTTTTCTAAAGCTTGTAATTAACACACCAACAACGTAGGCTACGGAACAACAGTTGTGAATGTTACAGAAATGACTAATGAATGTTCCTCATTGATCACACCTCTAATCGGGTTGTTGTGCGCAAAGTAATGCTGTGATGTTGTGAAATCATTAAGATAAATGAGAAGTGTCCCAAATGATTTAAATCTCCTGTGTTTATAAAAGGCCTTTTAATACAGCGGCTCCTATTGCCTCAATATCTACAGTTAATCAGTGTGGAGGACTTTGGCAAGTGAGAAGTTGGGATACGTTTCAGATAAAAAATAAATTTACGGCCTTCGCTTTAAATTATTTTGCACTCTCCGATTCGTATTTCTTATCAAGATTCTTTTTGAATCTTTTAAGCTCTGAGGTATTATTTTATGTTGATGGCATGCAGAATCAAAACCTCTAAATACTTGTTTGTATGTGAAACCTTCACCTCAAAGCATACAGAGAAAAAATAAAGCATCACCACAAAGTTCAAACCAATTTTATATACGGATCTGTTTTTTTTCTTCCTTTTAATATAATTTCTGTCTCTGATTACGACGCTTCATCCCACTAAACCTAATCAGTTCATTATCATCCAGAAATGTGTGTTTCACATGAAATCCGGACTCGGCGGTAACGGTTGAGAACATTGCCGTCCCCCACGCTCATTGCAATATATATTTCAAATTGAGCAACCGGCGTCTGCGTCTGGGTGCTGCTGCTCTGGATGCGTCTGGCTGCATAATCACCGCTCTGTGAAGCCGGACGGCAGAGCGAGCTCGTTCAGTGATTACGGGCGGCAGGGAACTTCCGTGGCCTGCATTCCCGCCAGCTGTTGATTTCTGCGTGGGGTTATTAGAAGCAGCTGCACCACAAGCTGGGGCAGATACATTCAATTAATATCAGTGTGTTCGTTGCCTGAGAATGCTTTATGGTTTAGTGGTTACATGCCTCCCCCCTCCGGCAGCAACGTACATCTGGCAGAGAAAATGAAGTCATGAGCACCATAACCTAAAACTAAGAAGGAAGTACAATAAGGAAGAGAGATGAACCGGAGGAGGAACTAATTGTCCAATACTAAGTATTCAGTAGTCAACAGACAGAATATTTTTAACACAGTCAGCCCTAAATATTATGGTTTAATATGAATGATTTAACAGAAAAATCGCTCTCAGCCGCGACAACAAACAATGAAAATGCAGTACTGAAAGTGTCGCTGGGATGGAAGTGTTGAGAAACAGCCAGTCAGCTGGTGGCAGAGGGGCTGTACGGAGTTTCTAACAAGTCTAAAGGAAACAACGCTGCTGTTGACACAAATCTCGAGACACCATCGAGTGAGCAGCTGTGACGTTCTGAGCTTCAGGTACGACGTTGATGTCAAACAGTTCATTTTAATTCTAAACATTTCTTCTAGCTTTGTTGTAAAATGCTATAAAATGTTGATGATTTGAAATGTTTTCTTTTTTCACAGATATCTTTTTTGGTGGCAAAATGGATTTTTATGATTACTATCATGGGGAATTTAACTACAGTGAAAATTACACGTACGAGGAGACCGTTTATAAGCACAACCCGACGTGTTTGAACGAGGTTCTGTGTGCGACTTTAGTTGTGGTCAGCGTGGTCATTCTTCTGCTGGGCTTCTGTGGAAACGCTCTGGTCATCTGGATTTCTGGCTTCAAGATGAAGAAGACGGTCAACACCACCTGGTACATGAGCCTCGCCGTCTCTGACCTCGTCTTCTGCGCCTTCCTCCCGTTCAACGTCGCCAACATGGCGATGGAGGAGTGGATCTTCGGCCACTTCATGTGCAAGTTCGCCTCCTCCATCATGTTCCTCAACATGTTCAGCAGCATCTTCCTCCTGGTCGTCATCAGCGTCGACCGCTGCGTCTCCGTCCTGTTTCCGGTCTGGGCTCAGAACCATCGCACTGTGAAGATGGCGTCCGTTGTTGTGTTCATCTGCTGGCTCCTCGCCATCGCGATGAGCTTTTTCTCCGCCATCTTCCGCGAGGTTCACACCCACATGGGGAGAACCTCGTGCTACAACAACTACATGCTACACCAACACGGTCACAAGATTGTGGCCGTGAGCCGCTTCCTCGCCGGGTTCGTTGTCCCCTTCGTCGTCATCGTCGTCTGCTACTCGATCATCGTTCTCAAACTGCGAACCAACCGGGTGATCAAATCCTCCAAACCCTTCAGAGTCATGTCCGCGCTCGTCGCTGCTTTTTTCTTCTGCTGGCTGCCCTACCACGTCTTCATCTTCCTCGAGCTCAACCACCAAAACTACGACCGCGACGTTTTGACCGCCGGACTCCAATTGGCCGTCTGCGTGGCTGCAGCGAACAGCGTCCTCAACCCAGTGTTGTATGTTTTCATGGGCAATGACTTCAAGCAGAAGTTCAAGAGCTCCTTGCTCTCAAAGATGGAGAACGCAATGGGAGAGGAAGGCCGCACCACCAGCCGATACCTGTCCAGGTCCAGCTCCATGGACGGCCGAGCTTCCACGCACATCTAGACCCAAACTGTTTTCGCTCATTAGAAATACGGTTTTCCGAAATGTAAATTAGCCCACAAGATATGAAGTATAGATCCTCTGTGCTAATGGGCGTTTTTGTTGCACTTTTCTTCTGTTGGCAGCAATCGAGAAAGCAGTTGCCAATCGAGGCTCACAGTACGTTATGCAGTGGAATGATCTGCGAGCTTGAGCCAACATCTAAATATGTGTTTTACTCATTGTGCTTTGCATGGGTGACATTAATCCCTTGCAGCAGAAGGAAGGTTTGCAGAGCGTATTTTTGGAGAGTTATGCAGCCAGTTTCAATTGCAGCACGAAGAGGAATCTGTAAAATATCAGGGATCATTTCTTATAAGTGTATCATCATTATATAAAGCGTGGTCTGAAATTGTGTTATGCTAAAAGGAGCATTCAGTGTGATCCGGAACAATTTTCATGTATTTTTTTCCATCACGAATTGTAGCACTAGATCGACAGTAGTAGATAACATCTGTGAGTCTGGTCTGCTCGTACATTGTTTTTTACAGCATAGATTTTGATGGAACCTAAAAAGTGTGTGCAAATTTGGTGAAAGGGGCTACAGTCTTTTTGCAGGAAATCTTTGCTGATCTGTAGAATTCATCAACAAAAATGGTCCTATCGAACGCAAAGAGAGAACTCTCACCGAAGGAAGAGAACAGATTTCTGTTTTTTCTTTTTGTGCTCCTAAAACTTCAACTGTCCACAAAAGGGGTGTTTCAAAGTTTATCTTTCTGTTGATGCAATGTTTTTGTGTTCTGGCATTACCAAATGTTGGGTCAGACTGAACCAGATCCAGTGTAGAAATGCTGTTGAGATATGTGATATAGATGTAGTTTGTTCTCCAGAATCTTTAAACTACACACCCAGCTTCTATTAGCAGGGGACAAAAACTGCATGTGGAATGGAATTTGTATTTGTGTGTGAGAGCTGTTCAGTGATTGATTTGTGCAATAAACATATGTAGTTTTCAATAAAGCTGTAAATATAAACTATATGCTCTTTGTTTTCATTTCTCAATTTTGAAGACAACATGTATTACAGTTTATCCACACTTGTGGTGATATAACTATGGCACGAAAAGCTTTCATTTAGAGACTCAAGTTGAATTTAATTGGGTTTGAAGTCAAATGCCAACAAGAGTCAGAGATCAGTGTTTTCATGGCGTAATGGTTTATTTCAGTGGTCAGTAGACCAGTGTGACCGCTCTCCATTTTTTCCAACACGTTTTTTAAAGACTGAAAGTCTTATTTAAATTATTTTTGTTTTGTTATTTTTGTGAAAAGTTACCCTTTTGAATAGAAGTAATCTCACTTCCTACAACATAAAAGGAACAACCACAAGTGACTGGTTATTTCCTCTATGCTGAAACTGCAGGAATAAGGAGGAAGACAGACTGCAAAGGTTACTTGAGTCACGGGCAGTGAACCACAATGACACTTGAGCAGAGATGACTTTTTTTTTTTAAAGTTCTATTCGTTAATAGGACCGCGGGCAGCCTTTTGTTGAGACAAAAATAACGATAAAGGGTAATTACTTGATACTGAGGTGATAAGAAAATAAATTATAATATTGCTGATTTCAGGAGCAACATCTCCACCAACGATGTTGTGCGTACGGCTTCTTTTGCTGCTATTTAAAGAAGAACTCTGTGAGTTGCTCCAGATTCAGAGTGACACATTCTTAGCCACACTGAAACTACTCACCAACTACCAGACGGACGGCCGTGACGGTTTGTGCAGACGATCACATCCGCCTCAGGCTGAACCAGCAGGACGTTCGTTTACACTCAAACGCCTGCGAAGCAAATTACTTTCCCATAAGCCTCCGCTGTACTTTGTTTAGTGCTTAATGGAAAATGTGAGCATGCTACCAGGCTAAACTAAAATGGTGGGCTTGGTAAATTGATATATCTTATTCCATTAAATGTGAAGCTGCTTAACCTTATCTGTGTCGTACAGCAGGTTGGTGATGTGCACACGGGACCATAAAACCACTGCATGTAGCAATTACTTTAGTTTGACGAATATATTTACATATGTTAGAGCATACTAAGTTCACTAAGTGCTACTGAATAATGGAGGAGTCTGAAGAGGCTGCACCAAGATCCCTATACAATACGTTTTCTTTGATCTTTAAAAAGACACCACAGCCTGTTTAGTAGTCAGCGGGATTCCGACGTTTCTATAATAATTACTGTCGACCATAGCGCATCATTTTATGCACCTGTTTATTGGGCCTTATCACATTACATTCATTCCATAGAAAATACATTCATTTGTGACACCTATGTTCAGAAAGTGTCTGCTTGTCCGTGAAAGCGAGAGCCGATAAAGTTCAAAGCATGTGTTTAAAAATAGAGACACCTTCACCCCTTTTGCTGGTTGCAATACAAATGTTATCAATGCGCCAGCAAATCCTATAAAAATATATTTATGCAATTTTGAAAATGGAAGTCAGTTAATATTGTCTGGCTCTGTCACCCACATTGTATTTATTTATATAATGTATTTTTTCACATGTTTATTTATTAGCATTTATTAGCACATTGAGTACCGTGATAAGACTTTATGCGTACGGAATTTTAGCAGAATTCTTCACACATTTCTGGAGATTTTTTTTCAAATTATTAGTAAAATGATCACCAGCTAGAACTGTTTCATAACCTTTCTTACAACAAAGCAATGAAACATTGATGATAACTCATAAAATGAATCTACACTCATCGCTACTGCTAAATGTTACCTCCGGTCTAACACAAGTGTAATGTCTAATTTCTCCATGATCTTTGGGGAAAGTTTGGCACAGCAAAGTGCTTTTTGGATTTCTTCATCGAGTCCAGTGTTAAGAAAACAAATGCACAACCAAATCAGTCGACGTGTGCGCTGCACGGCAGAGATAAATGCTGTTGAGATAAATCATTTTTTCTCCTTGTCAGTGCCTTCAAGAGGGATTATTCATCATCTTGAATAGAAGGAGCTGAGTTCATCACTGAAAACAAGACTGGAACAACTTACAAAATATTAGAAACACATCGTATCATCATCATCATCATCATTATTATCATCATCATCAGGTGGTCATAGCCTGCATATTGCATATCTCCGTCTGACCAAGGGCTTTACGTTATGTTTCATGTATAAAATAGTATTATTCTCTAACTGTGATAGCAGCAGAAGATTCTTACATCTGAAAGTTCTCATTTCTAGTATTTTCTTATGCACAAAATAAGCCCATGTATATATTTGGGGAACTTGTTTCTTCACTAGTAACACATGTAGTCACAGCTGTACCTTCTCCATGTTAAGGCATGTGCTCATGCCGACATGGCACACGTGCATAGAGCAGGATAAGGAGTGCTTTTCATTTAGCCGGAGAGAAAACTGCCTATTTCATTAATGCATGAAGCTGCTGAGGTTCAACACAAAATGAAAGAACATAAATAGGAAATAAAAAAGAGGGTAAAGAGACAGCTTCTATGTTGACAGAATAATAATTGAAAAAAACAAACAGATGGTGCGGCCTGTCGACAACAGTCCAATTGAAGGAGGGAAAAGGAAAATAAATGATGGGATCTCGTATATCATCTAGGCATATATTCCTCTGGAACCCCAGAAATGTTCCTTTTCCTCAAAGAAGCATCTACTGTTCTGATCAGTTCATTGATGTTCGCTCGCATTTCTGGAGTATAGGGGTCATATTCGAGCTTTCGGAGCCCGGATCTCTTAAAGTTTCCATCCTTCTGGCCCTCGACGCAGAGGAGGCGCTCCTCCGAAACTATCAAACCAAGGAACTGCACCATTCCCTTCAGCTGGGAGAACAGGTCCCTCTTCACATTCTCAAAGTGGACCACGTGGACATTCTTCCCATAGTTGAGCCAGTCCAGCGTGTGGGACGCCCACCAAGGCGCATAGTTCTTCACAAACTCGGGCCACTCTGCAGGACATATGAGAACGGAAATTATTTAAAAACACGAGTAATAAAGCAGTCAAACTGACGACTGTACGGAGTTGAAGTGAGTCACGACGGCCAACGCACACCGACGCAATTTAGCATCAGTGTGGCTCAACGTACGGCAGTGTACAACTTCTGAGATGATGGACTGAGAAGTGGACATTCTTGGTTGTCAGGGGCCTGTAGCAAAACCCTTTGCTTGCAACTTTTACTTATTGATAATCTACTGGCCCATAAAAGATTCTGCTGGCACGAGCCTCACTGCATTAGCAGCACACATTCTCACTGTCGTTAAAGTTGAAAGCCTGCTGAGTTTGCAGAGCTGTCTCAGACAGCAATGAGAGAAGCACGGTGGACAGAATATTATATGTTGCTTCTGGAAGCAAAATCAGCTGTAGAGAGAAAACGGGGAAACCACCGGCTCTGTTCTGCTGAACTTAAAACTTAGAAAAAGCTTTCAGCTCGGCTGTGAATATCCTGTTTGGCTAAAGAAGAGGTTTGTCGTAAAAAAAAAAACAACACAAAATGGGTTTATGTGTGAAGCTTATGTGTGGAGTTGACAGTGTGGAGGGCATCGGTCACCCCCCCCCCCTCCCCCCTCCCCCCGCTGAGGTGACTGCATCAAATTGCACATGCCGGTGCCCCGAACACAATGTCAGGCTGACTCTCAAACATGATCATCTCGCTGTATTGGAAGTGGCAGCTGTCAAGAAGCTTTCCTCTTTCTTGATGCCACTGCATCACTGACGGAAGGAACAAACAGTCATTGGAAACGTCCAGATGTGCTGATGTTTCCACAAAGAGACACTGCTGGGTCGGCAAGTCTCCAGCCTCTGGAAAATCGATTAAACCTTGCAGAAAGTCAGAGAGACGGTACGCGGACCAGACAAAACAAGTTGCCATGGTTACCGAGATACACTGAGGACGGTGAATGAGCTAAGATATGAGCAAAGATATGCATGAAATATGAATGTATTTCAGCAAAGGGCATAACATTTTACAGACAAAGGGGTATTGAACCGAAGAGGTTTTCATTTCTTTAAATGTTGCTATGAACATTTTTCATATCTATTTTTGATCGAGTAAACTCGAGAGGAATTGAATTTAAAATGACTAACGCGCTCACACATTACCAAAAGGTTTCACAATGCATGTCGTTACAGGATTGAGGACACATTAAGTCTGTAACAGTGCATCATCAATATACATCAACATTATCAATTAATTTGCCTATTATTTCAGAAATCATAGAGATTTCCATCTTGTTATTGAGCACAAACTCAATGGAAATGTAAAATGAGGGATATATGAACACATATGAAGATAATCTTTGGAACCTGGTCTGACAACAAGGACACAGCTGGTCATTTTTCTTTGGCGGATGTAAACATCTTCTAGAGACCGTCACGTCCCATTTCATATTTAAATGTAACTTGAGAGTCTGACAAATAAGAACATTTTAAATAGTGACACGACCAAAAGGGACTAAGCAAAGGTTAACTGGCTAATTGTTTCATTTCTCATTTTTATATTCTGTTTGGGATGTTTGGGAGGTTTATTGCTCACTTCCTCCCTTTCGTAACCATTGTATTACAGCATAGACCATTTCTTAGTTCTTTTTATTATTACCAAATACTAAATTTAGGTTTTTATTTTCGGATTATATGAAGTTAAAACTGCTGAAAACCAACAGTGCATAGACAGAATTATTTCTTAGATTCTGGATTTCTGGTGACAGATCCTCACATAATGCCTTTTAAACTGAAAAATACATCTCAACTGTCTGTCCCATAAACAAAAAATAGAATTTCGACCTGTTTGAAAGCTTCAAAAACAGTCTGTTCGAATGGGACGTAGTTATTTCATGGTACACTAATACACACACATGTGGCAGTAGAAGTGCGTACACGGTTTGCGGTACTTGCACCCGTCTGGTCTTTGTCTATGTCTTGGATTTGACTTGGTCTCAGCCCCTCAAAGTCTTTGTCCAGTCTCTGTCTGGTCTTCTGGTCTCAGTTTAAGTGCTTAGCTCACCTTTCCCTTTCCAGTGGGCCTGAGAAGCAAATCCAATGTGGCCGCCATATTTCCTGTTGAATTCCGCCATGAGGGCTTTGTAGGGGTTTCGGATCATGAGAACGCTGGTGTCAAAGGATTCGATCTCCTTCCGGCCGCTCTCGTGCGTCTTGATGCAGATCGTCCTCCCGCTGCGCCAGTGGTCCCGCTCGCCTTTGAATCCTGCTCAACAATGACAAGCCCACGCTGGATATACTTAATATTTCATTTTTCCATCAATGAATGTGTTTCTGAATTGAATGTCGACGCCTACCTTTGTTGTAAAGGGAGCCATCAAAGTAATAGCTGCCGGTGTAGAAACCGGTGGCCAGTTCTATGAGGTGGCGAGCCCAGGTGTTGCCGGCTCCGGGGAAACTGGCAAGAGCCACCAGCTGCTTAGCGCGAGTGGGGAGGAAGTGCCGGTCCATGCAGCGGTTATCTGACAAACCACAAGGACAGAGACGCTTTATTCTATCATTTATTTGAAGTATTTCTCTAGAGGAATAAACGAGGCCCAGACACGGGCCATTCAAGCGTGAAGTCGATGGTTCCTTCCTGCTCATTGACTCATTTTGTAGTAACCGGCTAAAGAGAAGTAAGTTATGTTGAAACATTGGAGAAAAAGGTCAGAAATGACAATGAAAAAAGATACATTCTGGTGTTATCTGTTGTTGCGCGTGGGGAAGCGTTACTTCTTTCGCATCAGTTGCTTAAAAGTGCCCACACCCTGACATTAGAGTATAATGGCAGCGCATACCGAGAACAAGTTTCCCCACCTCATCTCCATACAGTTCACTTCCCACTGCAGCTTGTTCTTGTTTTTGTTTTTGTGTCGTTTTGTTTGTGCGCTCTGTGTTTTTTGCTGATCCGAGCTTGCATGCCTCGTGTGTTTGTGGCCACAAAAATGCTTATCTTATGAGAAAAAACACAGTTGGTACAGAGTCGGGTATTTGCTGGGATTAGAACAACTCAACATATTCCCACTTGTTACACCGAGTTGTCGGCGTGCACCTGTGTGTGTCTTTTCAGCCTCTGCATGTTGTTACCTTGAACCTGCGTCTGGTACACCACAAAGTACTCGTCGCTCCCACAGCTCTCAAACTCCTGCCCGCGGCACCGGCTGAGACACATTCCCTCGTCCTCCGGTTCGTGCAGGGAGAAGAGAGGAGTCGGGAAGCCACAGTGACACCGATCTCCGGCCAGGACGGCCAGCGTCTTCTCCTGGGAAAACAAAAACAAAACAAACAAACAACACAGCTGCGGTGAAAAACCACGTCGGCGTCTGAGGTGTCGGAATGTACAGCGCGTGATTCCGAAAAGTCCCACCTTCTCCGTGCACAGGTCCACACATTTGTCCACGGACATGTTTTGGATGACCGTGCTGAACGGAAGAGCCAGAGTTACGTTGTCCGGCCGGTGGAAACACCCTTTGAAAATGGCACTGCCGTCTGAGAAAGAACAACCCAAAATGTTATTCACCAAGGGGAATAAATAAAAAAAATAACAATACTGCAGTTTTATGGCTCCTGAGCAGCGCTTCCATCGGCTCGGCCTCTGTTCACTGATCCCTGTGAAGAGATCCCACTGGGACTCTCCAAGGCTTTGGCCTGCCAGCAGACGCAGCCAACGGCAGCTCAACATCGCTGCTGTGTGTTGACGACCTTTTAACCTCGGGTCAGATGGAGAGACTTTAGATCAGCAGACACTGGCTGCTTCTTTCCTTCATTCAATGTTGTCATTTTAACCGTAAGACTCAGTTTAATACTTTTTCTCTTTGTCTCTTTTTGAATTGCTGTACGCACACACACACGCACACGCACGCACACACACGCACACACACGCACACACACACACACACACACGTATTAATGACAGAATTACAGGACCACTTTTTCCAATGAACACTCCAAGCAGCGTGAAACGAGAAGGCGGTTTGGAAATCGTGTTTGAACGGTTCTATGCGGAATGTGACAGGAGGGTCGTGAGCAGCATCGTTTCATTACAGGTGGAAAACCGCTGTTTATAAGTCACTCGACAAGAAAATCTTGATTTCATCCTGTCAACATGTCAGCCGCGCTGATGTAAACATGAAGCTCTCAACCGACTGCTGAGCATTTACAAAAGAGGAAGAAAACTAAAACCTTTTTACTGTGAAGGATGAAAAACAGCTGCATGCGATAATCGGCGCTGAATAAAATGTGCACATAGAGCTCAACGCCCATCTAAGTTTATACTCCCAAAACCTGCACTGGCTCACGACTGCTATCAGTACTGCAAATCTTTAATACAAGGTAACGCAAATGAGCTCTAGCCATGTGTGTGTATCTAATGTTTTATTTATCTTTGACCTTTTTCCCTGAGTAAAAGTTGAATTTTTAATGAAATGTCCTGGCTCTCTTTATTTCCCTGTAGTAAATCTTTGCTGCATTACCCTTCTGTTCCCTCTCATGTAGCAAAGCTCTTCAAACCAACCAGAAATGCTTTTTGTTTGTGATCCATTGACTACCAGCAGCCATATGCAGCATTAAAGCGTTCAGACAATGTCTCGACCAAATTATAAGATTGCAGTAATGCAGAATAACATTTTGCCGAAATATTCGACCAGTTTGCTAAAAACACTAAACCATGTGACCATAATGGTCTGGAAGTGGTAGAGACCACATAGCCACCTCGACACATTTCATGCATTTCCTCTTTGACGTCCACATGATGGAGATCAGGGTCAGAGGTGAAAACACAAACATGAAGAGCTTATTCAGCAGCAGAGAAAAGCAGAAATGAAAATCATGATAAACAAACTTCACTGAACTGGATAATGCCGGTGACGTCATTTGAATTGAACAGTACTTATATAGTTGCCATGGATGTGCATACTAACAGCTTATTTCTTAGAAAGGTTGCGTAGGTAAGACAGCTTTCTGGGGAAAGCGGTAAACGCAACCAAGCAGCCTGCTGCCGACTCTGTGCCGTTACCCAAAATAAAACAAATACTTCCCCTTCAAACAGTGCGGTTTGTTATATCATTGAATCGAAGCGGATTCTATAGGTCTGCTTCCTGAAAACAGAGAAACATATAGAACGACTACAAAGATCTTTGTCAACTGAGACCAAGAATAGCTGAACTAGTGGACTAAGAGAACGCAGCTCTAATGTGCACATTTGTCAATATGAAATTAAAGAGATTAATTCTGCACGCCAGTAGGTTCACAGGTGGGTAGGGGAATCAACAAAGAAACACATTTCAAGTGTGGCGGTGCTCCTTTGTGTTCCCCCGGTAGCCGTGTGCGAAGCAGCTTGTTGTTCCTATGACATCCGGGGGGAGTTTTTGTTATTGTTGCAGAGTGTCAGACTCACAGCGGCGGGCCGACTCCTGGCTCAGCTCCAACCTATAGATGGACAGTCGGTTCGCTCCTCCGCACAGGTTGCTCTTCTCTCCTTTGCACTCCATGTTGCATTCGCTGTCTGAAGTATTGGGAGCCTGGATCTTGTGGCCGCAGTAGCACTCGGCTCCGAACTCCAGACCCGCATACATGTACCCTCTGGAGGGACGAGAAAGCATCGGCATCGTTAGTCAAGGAAAGGCAGAGGGGTTGAAGTGATTGTTCTGAGCCTTAATGCCATTTCTTAATCCTTCACAAGCCCGTGCAGATTAGTACGCGGAGCAACTAGATAAGAAGTAATCAATAAAACAAAGCAAATGGGGAATGATGAAGTAAAGATGAGAACAGAACATTCCTCTGGAATAACATCTCTCTCTCTTTGGTGAAGATGCCAGGAGGCTCTTGAGGCAGTTACACACGTACTGAATCACAGAAGGTCTCTTCTCTCCCGTCTTTTGCTGCATGGGGGATTTGACCCCCAAGAGGGCTTTTGGTTGCAATTAGCCGTTGAACTCACACAGGACAAATCCCCAGGGCTGTCAATCAAGCCCGAACCACTGTGCTCAGCTATGTGCTGTTGCCCCTCATTTGTTTGTCTGTTCTTATTAACCCGCTGCTGTGGAAGAGGAGGCGGGCAGGCTGCAAGATCCGAGAGGAGGAAAGAGCTGAAAAAATAGTTCTCTCTTCTCTGCAAATCAGTGAGGGGTGTAATTCAATGCATTCGATAGAGCCGTCTCTTCAATTCCAGGGGGGAGTGAAAGGAGGTGAAAGAAAGATGGCTGAGGTAGCAGAGAGGGGAAGATAAGATGTGAGCAACGAGCAGGCAAATGGATTATAAGAGCAGAGAAATAAATTCTTACAAATCTGGAAAGGTCCAGAACAGTTGTTACCCTATACAAACTGGACTGGATGGGATTTGTATGCTAATGCGAGCACATTTGGATTATACTGTAAAGGGCACCGGTTCTGGGAAGACCTTTGCAGAAGTTTGGACCCAGACGGCAGGTATTCGATCCCATTCAGCCGGAAGAAGGAAATTGAGGAGGAGGTCAATACTGGTGTGGCTCACAGTTCACAGCTCTCCTATTTAGCCATCAAAAGGCGTTAGAAGCACGGCTGGACAACCAACTAGGAAACGCCGGCAGCTCCCACTGCGCCAAAGAAGCGTCAAAGGCTTTGCGCTCTTCAAACTAGGCTTTTAAAAAAATAAACCTTGTGTGTGGAGCTATAATTATCAGTGTCATTCATAGAAAAATATGCCAGCACACTGACAAATGCAACAGAATAAAATATGACAACAAATGGTAACGGTGTAACCATTTGATCACGTGTCATGTATGGATTAACTTGTTATTACGTTTTCATTTTTTTCAGTCTATCTATTTTTCCATGTAGAGCGGCCCGTCCTTCAATCGGAGCATCGGTTGTTCGACCCCTGGCTCCTCTCGTCCATGTCAACGTGCCCTTGGGCAAGTTAACCGTTCACCAGAAATTTCTCTCGAAGGCCATTCAATTAAATTCATGTTGTACAGCTCAAGTCCCAAATTTGCCTCAGTCCCGGAACCCTAAAAAGTATTAGCTTATGGACCAAGGTGACATTGATATGTGGACACAGGAAGAGGGCCTTCAAAAACCGGTTTTCATTCATTGAGACAAAAAGAGCAAAGCAGAAACACCCGCAGTGTCCATATATATTTGCTTGTGCTTCAGTTAGATGGTAACGTCGTTATTCTTTAGGTGTTGAGGTGTTCTCTGACTGTCAATGATATCAGATATATGTTGGGGTTAATATATTTGACAGGCTTGTATTGGTCATTAACTGGCCTGCGGTGCTGCGGTTCTTGCTTCACACGCGACAGATGACACATTTTAATCAATGTCCGGGTGTTTTAATTTTCCAGCCTGACAGCAGAAATAGAGAAGAGGGACATTTTTTTTGTTTGAGGCTGTCATACCTTTCTGCACAGTTGTCCTGGCAACGAAATACAGTCATTTTTTTGTAGTCAAAAAAGGAAACTCCTCTCAGCGCCCTTTTCTGTGTGTCATCAATGTGGCAGCCGACATACTTTGCTGAAAAAGAGAAAACAAACATGTTAATAATAATAAAAATCCATATACGATGCTAACGACAGCTATTTAAATTTGAAAAAACAGCTATAAAGAGTCGAGGGTAAGCCGTCTTCCTCCCGTGCAGCACAACGTAGGAACAGAGCACGGGAGGATTCAGAAGTGGGGCAGACTCTTTCATTATTTATAAAGACACACATCCCCTTCTAGTGGCTTGTGACGGTAACTGTCATCGCTGCATCTTTCTGTACCGTGTGGGGGGTTGGGCTTCAGCGCACCTCTGCAGAGGGACACTGCAACCCTCCAACAGCACACGGCCTCTGTTGAACTGAGCTGCACAGGCTCCACTGTAGCTTTTTAAAAAACAAACACACACAACATTTTGCCATCTGTGCCCTCGCCCCTCTAAGCCTGATGGCAGAACAAACCCTGGACAAACCCTGGCCCCCGCATTACTTAAATTGTTGTAGACTAAAGACCTGCGTTTGTGCGGCATTTGTTGTGCTGCAGGACTCAGCTGTAATCTTCCTCCTAACTATTTGTGTGCTGGGAAATAATCTGCTTTGTGATGAAGGAAAATGCTGATTTAAATTAAGCTGGAAAGTCATTGTGCGCTTGGTGTGCTGCTGCTGCCGCTGCTGCTTTGTTCGCCGTTTGAGTGAAATATGAAACAGTCCCTTCGCCGGTTTTATTCTTTCTACAGGTAAACATTCCAAAATAACTACCGTGCATCTGGTGGATGACGTTAACAAAGGGTGTGTGTTTGTCTACTTTAGTTTTCCCCTTCGATGTGCCTCAGTATGCTTCCGTTACACAGCAGCACGCAGTGCAAATGTGTTTGCACGCTGCGGTCTTCGTCTTATGCTCCAACATCCCCTCCAAATTAAACCCAGAGCCAGTGGGAATGAGTGCATTTGCAACGAGAGGCTAGTAGAGAAAGAAAAAAAAACTGCAGAGTAATAAGTGAAGATGGCTGCATCAGAGCAAACGGATGCTTTGATGCTGCTAATTACTCCATCATCACTTTTGCTGCAGTCCTGTGAGCTTAGTGTTTCCAAACAGGAGGGGAGGAGGAGGAGGAGGACTGAGGCAGACGATCAGATAACCCAGAGCCTCAATAGACGTTGTAAACATGTTTGTTTTCCTGGCCTTGAATTGTAAAAAGGAAATAGCTCAGCACTGGAATAACACTGGTATTTAATACTCTACCCTGTGGTACTGTGCTGCGAGTGGTAGTTTTTGGAAAAATAATCACTTTGTGTTTTCTCTACTGGCTTGACTTTCTTCTGGCTCAGAGAGGTTTCTCAGGAGAGCTGCCTCCACGTTTTGTCACATCGCTAACACAAACAGAGCAGCAGTCAGTCAGACTCGTGTTTATATTCTCCACCTGCCCGCAGTGCACTGTGGAGGGAAACCAGAAAGCAACATGCGCACAGTGGAATTGTAGTGAAATTGATGGCATTGTGGGGGAAGAGACTGGACCAGATGCCAACAACTGAATAAGTACGTTTGCTAAAATTCTGTACAATTTTTTGTATTAATAATACAATCTCTACTCCACTAAACGCCAAGGAGAAATATTCCTGGACGTTAAACTAAATGAAAAGTATTTGCACCATTACATTTATCTGACACCCGTAGTTACCAGTGAGGATTAAGCTGTCAAAACACATTATTTATTTGCGGAATACTGCGGAATTGTATGTTGCTTGTAACAGTTAAAATAAGCTCAACCAGCAACTTTAAAATGGTGCAAACATGATTAGTAGTAATCATCCAACAATGTGTCATAGCATTGTGCACAGACTCTTTAAAGTATCTTAATAATTGGGTATTTCTCCTAAATTTACTTTATTTTTTATAAATTATGCGTAATCCAACGGTGAGTGTTTGACAGGGTGAAGAAAGGAGTAAAAGAGAAGGGAGTCGGGTTCAAATGATATCCTCTTATCGGCTCACGTTGATCATGTTTCATTTGGAAATAATTGAGAAAGCAGGATATTTGTGTCATCCACAATCAGAGGTGTCGGCTCTGGTTGGACCCTCTCCGTCCGCACTCCGGTGTATCCAAAACTGTGTTGTGACTTCATAATATGTCACACGTCAGTTAGGAGTTTATATGTCAGGATTATGTAATCCCACGGTCACACCGACACATAGATTGAACATGTGCCAGGCAGCACAAAGCCGGGCAGCTGCTGTGGTGGAAGCTGCGCGTCTCAGACCCCCGGAAGAATTCACGCTGAGACAGACGACTTAATCATAATCATCATCATCTCACTCCGCTCTCATGAGATTTCCCACACGACCAATTACGACTTGGACTTCTCAGTCATTAAGATGATGTGGTTTGTAATTAAAAAGATGACTTTGATCAATTTCATATTCACATTAACTGCTGCCTGTGTGTTTGCCAGCGAACGTGCGTTAGACGGTACGTCAGCCTGTGATGAAATGTCCTACATTCTTATCATTTGTTCAATTCCCATGAGCAACTACGACACAAAGCAATACGTTATTATAGTCATCGTTCATTATTTACGACTGTATAAAATCATTATTTTATACAGTCGTAAACAAAGAGCAGTCATTAATGTTGCAGCGCTGCATATGTTGGCACATAATGTGACTATTCCCTCTATTCATGCTTTAATGATCTGCTCAATGGAGCACTTCATCAGATTAATGCATTTCTTTTGTTCTAATTTGTATTTTGTTTGTGGTAGAAGCAAATGCCCAATATTAATTTATTTTGTGGCGGAATATGCAAAACTGTGGGCTGAATAGAAAAGCACGGCACCGGCGTGGCAAAGTGTCGTTGGCGTCGCCCACCTCTTCCGTTGTCCACCTCTTTGGCACTGCGTCCTTTAAGGGCCCGGTTCCAGTTGTTGGTGTAGTGTCCCCCCCTGCGCACCGTCTCCTGGCCCTCCTGTCTGGCCCTCTTCATCCACGGGGGGCCGTACCTGCGTCCGGACCGCCGGGTCTCTTTAAACACTCTGCTCATGATGCCGAGGCCCCGGGTGCCTGCCGCTGAAGCTCGGCTCCCAGTTTCCGAAGCCACCACGGAGTTTCGGCCGCCACCGGCCCCGGGGCCGCCGCCCCCGACGAAGCCAGAGTGCAGGAAGACGAGGCTCCCGGCGGTCAGGTAGAGCAGGATGAAGGAAAAGAATCGCACGGGTTTCCGGCGGAAATAGCGCTGTAACTTCAGCAGAGGCTTGGCCATGCTGGCTCCCCCTGCCACTCAGACACGCTTCCCCGGGGATGAAAAGTCATAAAGCAGACGAATCAACACCAGCTGTCCCCAACCAATATAAAATGAAAAAAAAGCCAATTAAAAAGTTTTCGATCCTGAGTGAAGGTCCCTCAAACAAAAGCGTGACTATTTCCTCATGTTGTCGTCTTCAGTCTCCCGGGGGAAGAGGCTTTCCACCTGAGCACTGCGATGCCGATCGAATCCACGCGAGAGTCTCTCTGCCTTCCCCCGCTGACAGTTCAGCCCCGTGAGCCGCCTCCGGGGCCGCGGCATGAAAGGCGAGTTGTGCAGTGAAAGAAGATCCCTCGGCGCCGCTTTCACTGCAGTTATCAGCCTACGGAGATGCCACAGCAGCAACACAGTGGCACTTTCTCCCACGTTGTGCAGAAGTAAGAGGGTTTTATTTACAGCCCGAGCCGAGATCCTTTCCCCTCATTGAGGCCGGCTATTCAGTGAGAGAGAGAGAGGGAGGGCGTGACTCTCCATCTGCAATAAAGAAACACACGGGAAGAATGAGTGCCCACCTGAGGAAGCTCTATCACACATGGAAAAGGAGGAATAACAGGAGCAGGATAAGAATGAAGGATGGAGTTGAAGCATTATCTTCAGGGCGATACATCAGCCTTATCACGATACAGGGAATCGCGAGTTAACAGGACTCATTTTGTCCTCATGTGTGTATAAACGTCTGCGTATGTGTATATACAGTATGTATGTGTATCTACATGTTTCCATACACACATATGCTACTATGTTCTTATGTTTATTCCTATTCAGTCTTTCCATAATGTCTTTAATGAAGCGATTTGAGGTTAGTCAGCTTCACTGATTCACATGATCACCTGCTGAAACTCATTCGTTAAAGTCATGGACGGGTTTTTCTCATCATCATCCTGCTTAAACTTGAAAAGTGAAACATCTCAACGATTGGTCTACGGTTTGTTGGTTGAAGAGCTGAAGTGGAACAAAGCTGAGATCAAGCAGTCGGCTGCTTTTGGTGTTATTTGTTCCACATTATCTCCGCTTTTTTTGGACGGATGGGTCAAAGCGTTTTATCATGACGAGCGAATCACTTCAACCAAAATGGATCATATTTTAGCTGAAGATTATACCAAGCGTCCCGTGTTGCATGTATACACACACACACGCCTCAGAAGAAACGCGTTGAGCAAACATCTCTACGGCTGACATGTGCTATTTTTGGGTGCCACTCATTGGCTTCCCCGCTGGAGGCTGATGGCACATGTGAACATTGTAAGAGTTTTTGTGGTTTGGTTGAATATTGGCCTGCTTTCAGTTAGAAGTTTGCTTTTTTCTTTTTAATAACAATTGTGACATTATACATTTGAACTCTATTGCGTAGACGCGAAAATGGTTTGAAGCATGTGACGACGTCTCACACATCGCCCCTTTTTACACTGACGCCTCTTTTAAAAAACTGAATCCCTCAAAAGAGTCTCTGTTGGCCCGGGAGAGGACATTGGAAGATGTAACGCGACACTGCGCGGGGTCAGGGAATTTTCCAGGACATTGAAAGGGACACTCGGCCCTGTGGCTCGCAGAACACTTGTCACCCGAAACCTCCATGGAACAGCAGCCCCCGCTTGGCTATCCGCCCCCTCCACTCTTCCCTCCGGTGGTCTCGATCCTCAAGGAGAAACGGATCACATTCTGCTCATGTGCTTGAATCAAGGACAATCCGCATCCTGTCCCGAACATGCTTCTGTGTCTTGACCAGTAACTGAACATCTGCAAGGACGAGTATTATTACCGTTATTACTGCTTTGGTCTACATTTGAATTGTTCCTTTTTTTGTTTTAATATCATGTCTCTTTCCCTCGTGTCTAATTAAGTCCTAAATGCGATTTATCGCTTTGTAGCTGATGAGTCAAAGTTAATAGAAAACAAAGTAAATCATATTAGTGGAGTTTTCAGTCACGACATTAAACACATAATAGTCTAATTTTCCCAGGCGTCCGTTTCAAAATAACAATGTCTTGTCTACGTTCCTGACTATTTCTTTATGCTAAATTAAACTATTAAGCCGCTGGCTCTGGCTTTATATATTTAGCGAATGGAAAAAGAGTGGCATTGATTCTCTCATCTGACCCTTGGCAAAAGAGTAAATTCCCTAAACTTTTCCTTGAAACATTTTTGTCTGAAACGTGAATGAATTTTAGTGTTCTTTTCCTCACAGTGAATGTCCTCTATTTCGCAGGGATTGATATAGATGCACTTAAACCGTATGTCATTTGTCATATTCGTTGCAACAGAAGTAGGCTATGAACATTTTCTACTGGGACTTCTACTGCCTCAGTAACCATGGCGATTCTTCAGTCCTGTGTCAGCGTTTGGCTCCTCGTCGACGGAGAAATTATTCATACTTCAGGACAAACAACGACACAGCAACTGTCAAACAAGTGAGTCTTTGTTTCGAACCCGATCATCTGTTTTCCTTGCAGAAATGTATTCATATCTAGGTTATCCTGCAGAGTTACAAGGCCTAGATTGAAAAAGGCTACATATCACCCCGTGCCTCTTACTACCATCTCACTCTGCAGGGCAACACAGCATCCTGACAAGGTGTTGTGGCCTCTTGGTGGGATTGAAGTCCCGTGGCTGTGTTTGCACAGGCCATCGTGTGGTGATTTAAGAGGCTGAGCAGATGGATAAAATGACAAGTACAAGTGACACCTCCCTTCTATCGCGCACCCTGCAACAGGCCCACACACAGGCTACCACTGGTGAGAACATTTGATTGCTATTGCTATTTGATTTGATTTGATTTGATTGCTGCGAAAATGAAATCAAAGCAGTAGATGATTTGAAGGTTCAAATGTTTGTGAGAAGAGCGAGGACGGACTCGCTTCGGTCGCTCGTATTTCATGAGGGAAATAGAAACAGGAGGCGAGATTATGCCGCGAGTTGCTCTTACTTGCGATGCTTTGAGCTAAACACTAATATGCTAACATACTCACAATAACATGCTCATATCATGAGCAGGTATAATGTTTACAGATGACGGGAATATCATTAGCTTCCTTTGGTTGTAAAGCAAAGTATCGGATTAATTGAAATGTGCACTTGACGACGGAGTGATTGACGGTGCAACGTTGCATCATCAGTACCTTCATTTCCCAGAGTCGGGCCTGCACATTCAACCTTCACATATTTCCCATTTCAAAACATTTAATGTAGTGCTAAAAACAGGCCTCAGATCAGGTGAGAAACAGACTGACAGACGAGAGGAAATGCAACAGACAGGAAGAGGAGGTGCAGAGGTCTTTCTGCCAAATCACACCGATTACTCAAGCGGAGCCGACATGAACTCGCTGACTGACCATTAATTCACATTCATACTAAATGAGCCAGCAAATATTTAATCAGAGCGGATTGCAGGGAGGAAACGTCAAAGTCAATCTTTGTCCAGCGGGCCGGCGGGCGGCTCAGCTTGTGCAGCAGGGTTGAGCAAGAAAGAGCCGCGGTCAACTTTGTGACACCTCTGGAGTTCAGAGACAGTTAAGCGTCAGCCAGCACGGACAAATGAGACGGCGTCTGAGCTTTAGTACAACTGCAGTACGACAAAGACATATTTAAAAAAAAGAACTTCTCACAGTGGGATTGTGCATTGTTGTTTTTGTAGTTTGAAGGAACTAAAACTGCCAAGAAAAGCTGTCAAAATAAAATTGATGCATATTTCTGTGTTGAACTCTGTGGAGCAAAGACATTTGCTAGTATGATATTTTGTTCCAATAGAAGCAGTTAAAACAGATGTAATACATTTCCATCGCCCACTTGCCAAGAAGCATTCTTTCGCTCCAGCGTGGGTGAGGTTTTCAGTACAAAACACGCCAGCTGAATTGAATTTGTTAAAGTTAGGAAAATATGGTGAACTGCACTGGTCCACAGTAAAATCAACACCGGCAGTCATTTATTGTGGGCTTCTAAAGGGAAGAATCCCACATTATTGTCACAGAAAGGGTCAGTGCTGCACCGGCAGTAATGGAAAAGGAAACCGTTCTCTCGTGTCCTTTTGTCCCAACTCAAACACGCTGTAAGTCCCATCCAGTCAAAGTATTGTACTGTAACATGCTTTTGGTTTCTGAGCAGCAGAAGGGTTAACGGTGTTGGCTGCCCCCCCCCTCCCCCAGGGTGTGTCTTTCTGCTTCCCTGGTGTGTTCGGCCTGCCAGTGCGCATTAGCCATGTTTGTCAAATCAAATCACACCAAAAATCGCATTCCTCCCCCGGTGATAACGGCCATGCTGGCTCACACAGACTTTTCCCCCAAATCCTGCTGCAAAGTTGCCTGGTGTCTCGTTGCAGTTCCAGTAGAAAACTCCGGACCGGAGGAAAGCAGCAGGGTTGTTGAGCATCCCTCCGAATGAGGACTCGTGATGTGTTCTGTGCATGACAATGAAACAAAAGAACGTGCCGCTCTGCGGAGCTTATGGGAGCTGCTGGCTCCGGTGTGCGCGACCCCTGAAAACCGTGACTACCTCGACCAACCACACGGTCCCATTGCCAGAGCCGTGCTTTTGGCTTAGTGTTTGGAAAAACGCGTGGTATTGGCTACAGGTTTTGCTTCCCATGTTCCTGTCAGACATTCTTGTTAAACCTGTGTTTGATCGCAGCGTGTGCTGGCATTAGTGATTGGATCAATGCCCAATATACGGGGCCACACAAAAGGAAGCTCGCCAGCAGTTCTTTGACAGGATCTCTGCGCAGTGAGAGATTATAGGAATAATGAAAGCAGTTTTTAAACTGACTTATGTTACTTTTTGTTCCTTATGGTAGTTTTTCTAAAACCAAAAAGATTAAAAAGGAAACATTTATACTGTAGAAGAGGACGCCTGGCTCTGCTTCACTTAAGCTAAAGTGCCACTTCACATACCCTGTCAGAACGTTCCCAATAACAGCGTTCCACTATATGCAGTCATTTATCAGTTGTCTGTCTGCAACTAAAACCTCTGTTTGAAATCAGTGTGGAGGTCTTTGAAATGTGGAACAAGTGTGAAATTAAAGTAGACAAATCAGTGCTGTAATGAGTGTTGACAAGCTGCGGATTGGTGGTTAGACATCCACTGGCCCTGCTTTCTTTTTATTAACCTTTTATTAATGGCCTGCCGAGAGGTTAATGAGACAAGATGTTGATAAATACGTTTGACATGCATTACCTGTGTGGTTCAATGTTATCAAATGAATTCATTGGTTATAGTTACATGATGTATAAATCACTTCCCCCAAATGAAAAGTGTGACAGTAGAAATGAATGCATAATTTGTAAAAATATTGAGATTTAAAATCCCAAACAAGGTTTGCAGTTTGGCTGGTTGTTTGTAAATCAATGTTTTTAATTGCTCCTGTAGCTGAGCCGATTGTTTCTTCAGGACGAGATGGGCATGTTTTATGTTTTAAGGACCCAGATGGTCATTTACACCCCTTTTCCACCCAAAATCCTTGCATAAATTCAGTATGTTTAAAGAAA